TTTTCAGCATTTTTGATAGTATTGCATGTTGAGTGTTTTCAATGCAATAACAATCTGAAAAATAAAGGGTTCATTTTCTGATGGTAAATTGAAATGTCCGAACAGTTTTAAAACCAGAAGAAAGCTTTCATCATCATTAAAGGGACACTGTAGGCAACAGGACCACTTCAGCCTATTGAAGTGGTCTGGGTGCAAACTCCCATCACCCTTAATCCTAGAGTGGTAATTATTGCGGTTTTTATAAACTGCAATAATTACCTGCTAGGGTTAACTCCTCCAACAGCCACTAGAGGGACTTCCAGGTGGACAGACAACTTTTGGTCGCCTAAACAACGCTGGATGTCCTCACGCTATGCATGAGAACTTCCATCGTCACTGGAATCCCCATAGGAAAGCAATGAATAATGTTTCCTATAGGGAAATCCTAAAGCGAGCGAGGGGAGGAGCGTGGAGGCAGCACCGAGAGACATTGGCGCTGGACCCAGGTAAGTGATAGTAGGGGTTATTAACCCGCTTTCTGCTTCACGGAGGTGGGCCTTGGCAATATAGTGCCAGGAAAACGAGTTTGCTTTTCTGGCATTATAGTTTCCCTTTAATGGTGCAATCTTGAGATTGATTGGATAGGATATTCACATTAAACAAACAAAATGGCAAATCGATTAAATCACAGGTTTATGGTTATCATTGGCAGTAGTGATAACAGGGTATGTACCATCAATCTGTTGTGTTCCACTGACATTGAGATCTGTGCGTATTCCTTTAAGTATGTTCAAAACTGACATTTCGGGTACAGTGTACTTGTGTATTTGTTGTGTTATCTATCTTACTTAGTCATACTGTTGTTACAGTGATTAATTGAATTTTATTAGATGTAGCAAGCCAAGATTTGTTAGTATATGACTGGCGACATCAACCAAAGTGAGATGTTTGTTCTGCTCATGCGCAAAACAGTTTGCTAATTTTCAGGATATTTATTAATCATTTTAAAAGGGTTAATCGATTGATGACTTAATCTTGATGGCTTAACTTGAGCTACTTTTCACTGATCCAATAATGGCAAAAAAAGGACTATGAAAGGTATGGGGAGATTTCCCAATTGTACAGCGATACGGCATATGTTGGCGCTTTATAAATGCCAGTAATAAATAAAATTGTGATCCTGTCAACATTCTTACTGCATCAAGGGCAGCCGTTAAAATGTTAGTATTTGTCCAAAAATAGATTATCTAGGTCATAATGTGTAGTTACCGACAGCCCATATGTAGAATGGTACTAAAGGGTTAAACCCTTGGCTAAAAGACATATACTTAGTATTCACCTACATCCTCGTCTGTATATATTCCAGATGAAAGATCCCAAACAGAAAATATTGTTCCTTTGAATCTATTTCAAAAGAACATATTGCCAGCAAGTAATCTGTTTTTCTGCAGAAAACATAATTTGTAACATTGCATATGGGGGGTTTGTTCTAATCCAAACAAGTGTATCTTGCACATGTGTGCGGCAGAGCTATGAGACCAGCACAGCTTCTTTTACCCAAATGAGTTGAGGAAATCTAAAGTCTGCACAGCGTTAAGGCTATCGGGGAAAAAGTGCACTGATGTTTACATAACCTAAAACTTTTATATATCACATTAGAGAGTGAAACATCTTTTTTATATCAAGTTAGGAGAGAATACATTCTCTTGACAATGATATACGATGTGTTAGTACAAAACACAATTTTATATAAGTGTCCTGTAATTCATTACAATGTGCACGTGTTTTATGTTTCGGCTCATGCGGCCGGAGGAAAATATGTTAAATGTATGACAAATCACATTTGGCTTGTACGTTCGCCTGGGCCTATGCTTTTCAGGCACTGCTGGCAGACAGACCAGGGTATTAATACATAGCATATTTGTGTCCGTGTGTAATAGCTACATTGTAGCCCTCCTGTGTATTTGCAAATCATAATGGCAATTATTTATATCTTGTCAAAACATTTCACCAGCCCATTCAGCAAGTGTGTTTCCAGTTACACAATCAAAGTACAACTTCATTTTTTTAAAGAAGCAGTACACGGCTAAAGCGATTTATTGCGTCTTCTTGAAACTAAAGACAGCATTGTGAATGGGTTCTAATAGAAGGGGCTCTCCTCCCAGTTCAGCTGATAACAGCATTAGTAATATAAGTCCAATTATTACTAGATCTGGTACATCACATTTTCCAATATTCTCTAGGTCTATTTTAGGTGGCACAGAAAGAGACAAATGACAGCCTAAACATTTTGGTTGCCACAGCAGCAGGAGAAACGCTCGTTAAATTGACACTATAGTCACCAGCTTAATGTAGTGGCTCTGTTATTTATAGCATGGCCCTGCATAGAATGCATTAGATTCAGATAGAAGGCAGTGTTTACATTGCTGCTTAGTAACACCTCTAGTGGAAGTTACTCAGACAGCCACTAGAGGTGCTTGCTGTGTCAGTGCAGCACACAATCAGCATATCAGCACTCTGCATGGAGACACTGAATGCTCCCCATAGAGCTGCAATGATTCAATACATCTCTCAGGAGATGCTGAATGGCTTAGCCAGGCATGTGCAATAGCCTCCCTATGCAGCGAGATCGGAGTGGTGAGGGAGAAAAGGCGAGAGGGAGGCCGGGTTCCGAATATATTCCAGCACCATAGAGTCAGGAATACATGTTTGTATAGTGTTCCTTTAAAAGGAATATCCCCACCTCTATATCAGCTTTAGTTAATTTAAGTGATGGGGGACAAGGGTGTCTTACATTTAAGGGTTAAACAGTTTTGCAAAATACTAACTCTGACACCACTATACCTTGCTTCATACCGCTCTGCCTTGCAGTATAGAGATGGTTGAGGCAGGGCCTGTGACAGTTCCAAAACATGACATTCTCAGTCTGTCTTCTTACCTAAGATCCACCAGGCGACACTCCCCGCAGGCCACCACTACAGCTCTGTGAGAGTTGGAAGCTCTCATCACTGAGCCAAACCCAAGGTGCAGGCCCTGACTGAGTTGTAGAAGAGGTGGGAAGCGGAGCCCAGGGGACTCCAGGTAAAACGTCAACCTGTTCTAAAACGGTTTGACTCCTTACAATAGTGGAACAGCAAGGTATGCCTTGCACACATAACCACTACAGTGTACTGTACTGCTTATAGAGATTTGAGTGTTCATGTAAGTTGCTATGGGTTAGGGATGTTCACTTTTTATGTTTTTAAGCTACTGAAAAAAACAAAAACATTCCTTATTTTGGGGGCGACAAGCTGGAGTGTTCAGGGGAATTATTCAGCTGCTTAAAACATATGGAATGAACTTAAATATATAGCATGTAAAGTGTATGTGGACGCGGTGCGTTTTGTGTGTACTTTGTTCCTCCGTGAGAAGTACTGGAGAGGCGGCTTGAGGCAATGGCTGCACTTGCTACATGTCCTCAATGCTTCTCTACAAGTAGAATCTGATTGGACAAAAGTCACCGTGATTGATGACTTCTCAGTATGAGGATCAGGTTGCAATGAGGGGCCTGTCTTGGTGCTGAGAAAACCAAATACAAAATAGTAACTTTTATAGCATTTTAATTAACCAAAACCAAAACCAGCACATGGGGATCCCAGTCATTTTGATAGGTTTACAAACTCTTCTTAATTAATATAAAAAAAATAATATAGATTTGTATTTATTTCTCAATATCTGAATTACAAAACCATAAATAATCAATAAAAAAATAAATAATTATATTTTACAGACTGACAGTAATAGGTTTTGAATGCTGGCTTGTAATCCTGTACATTTTATTTCCATAATTGAAATACTGTTTGTCCATGCCTTTTTTTCTGCATGATTCACTTCTACGAAAAACAATGTCAGCGTTGCCTCTTTTAAATGTAGCATGTGTAAGCAATGTAACGTACCAACCCATACGGAGGTCTAAAAGCTGACTAGAATCTGCCAACTTGGCTGCCTATGTGAAGCTGAGAATTTGAATTAGATGAGGAATGAGCAGGAGGTGAAAAAATGAAAGTAGCTTTTGAGGGCAGTTTTCCATTATTGCAGACTTGACACTGTGAAGCTTAATGAGATTTTTTTTTTGGAGGTGTAGATACAGTACATTCTAACACTGGAAGCCAATGCAATGTTTTTGTGTTCGTCATAGGATTGAGCAGCCAATTGGCAAGAGGAGAAGCAGGCTTCTCAGAGGATGTAGGGGGATTAAAGGGAAGCTCAATTTTTGGCATTTTATTTTACTATGGATCAACATAAACAGGTGATTATGACACAGAACAGTTTAACAGACTTTTACTGGAGATAAGAGCTGTTTCAGTCACCTAATCTGCCCTTTTCTTAAATGATTTAAAGCTGAATGTTAAATAGCAGGCTCTTGGATTTTTTTTCCACCCCACTGAATATTAGAACAGTTAAATATCCCTCTTATGTTACTAATACCGTTACTTTTCTAAAAAATGTTCTCTCAGTCCTATTCGCTAACATAAGTTCCATTATACGTTGTGAGCTCCTGACAAATCACACTTTAGTGAACAACACTGTTAGTATTTTTTATTAAAGAAACAACTGTGTATAATATTTCATTCAAAATAAAACAGGGGGGCGGAGTCTGAACTGCAAGCTGAACGGTCGCATGTTGGATGGGCTCCTGCCACACATGTTGATTATATCGTGATACGAAACAAACCAAAGCCTGAATACATGCTGGGGTATGCTACCCAAATAGGGGCACCCTGGCAAATTGCCTGATACCAGACATGGGTGCCTTCAAAACCCTTAACCCAAGGTGGCCCACTGCGGCGCTGCGGTGGATGGGGTTGGGGAGAGGCAGCCGCTCTCCTCGCCCCTACGCCGGGGATACAGAGCCACTAACTGTGTGCCCCCCCTTAGGACCGGTGGGGGTGATCCCGGTCCACCCCTCTGAGGCAGCCCGGTCACAGTGGACACAGTCTGCGTGTCTGCAAGAATGGCATCCAGATACAAAGGCTTGCATAATGGCGGACGCCACTTGCACATCATACCGCTGCGAAGAGAAGCATGACACTCTGACCAGGCTAAATGCCATACTTGATGCCTTCTGGGCGAATCTAGACAGTCGAGAGCAGCAGACAACAGCACACGCATACTTACGTAGCAAGAAAACCACACGTTCCTGCCGCAGACGAGGAGTTCCTCAGCCAAAGGGAGCTCCAAGATGGCACCGCAGAAAGAGACCTCTCCCATCTGCACGCAAACACACACAACGGAACCGGGCAACAGAGCTATGTTGTAGAGAGCTGCAAACTCTCCACATACCCAGCCTTAAGCAAGCCTCGCCATGCAGCCGCAGAAAAAAACGTTACTCCTCATTGCCCCAGATCCGGACACCGCCAAAGAAAATCCAGCGGTTCCTAATGGATGCAGCCACATCTTATACTCTGTACGCCGACCTCCGTTGTGATGGGCAGGCAGGCCGGACAAAGGACATCGGAAGAGACAGCAGGGACTTACCCACTAAAGGCATCGAATGAGTAGCCCATGGACCCTAATGGCAGCATAGCTGCGTTCACCCTCCTGTACCTGGTGTACTAGGCAGGATATACCCCTGAACCAACTCCATGCCGTTACAGGAGTCCAGTTCACTACCCGGTGGGGTTGAATTGATGAGATAGCATGTAATCGTATTACGATTACCAACTCACCTGTTATTTATATATAGGTTCCACATTCACACCTTCACAAAGCACAGACCACAAAGGGTATAGATTGAACCTGGGGATAATGCCACACAAGTTATTGGGGGCAGGGATGCAGGCTACATAGCCTTTCCATGTCTGCACACATGTCCAGGGGAACCTAACTTAAGCATTAATAAACATAAAACACAGGGCTACTCAATTAAATCAAAAGTAGCTGATCTGGAAGCATAATTGATTTGGAGAATTTTTCAAATTCAGCTGTTTTGGACTAAGATTCTAAATTCCCTTTTAATTCCCGAAAAGTCTCATTTTAGTAAATAACCCTGTACAGACATGGAAATAAAGTTGGATTTCGAATGGTTGTTTGGTGTTTTACCCAATCATAATTCACGTCACATATATCAATATCATACATGCAGAAAGTATGTACAGAATAAGCACTCTTTATAATAAGTTCTCTATCCATGCCATTTATGATTAACTGGTCACATGACTAATGGCATAAATGATGGTTTTATATGGTTTGATATGCTAAGTGTATAAGAGGGTAGTATCTCTCTTTACATTAATATCATTCAATTTATAATTTACAATGTGCGTTTAATTTGTCCCTTTCTGTAGAGAATCGCCTACTCAAACAAACTATATAAATACAATTTAATATAACAGAACATTTGGTGTGTCGGTGCAATAAATAAAAACCCTGAAATTAATACTCTCTCACTCCTGAAGACTGCAGAGTCACTTGTCATTTTACAAGGAGCCATGGAAAGCATGATGTGGAAAACTGTAGGTGTTCCATCTTCTCTGCTAACGAATGAACTCTGGGATATAATAAATGAGTCAGATATGACAGAACCCATAGAGAATGACACATAACAGAGTATCATGGTGGACATCCAGTGCTTGACTTCATCACTTGTTCTTATTCATGAAACATTTTGTTTAGTTACATGAAAATAAAAACCTATGGTGCCCCCTCCTAAATGAAGTTCAATTAGTCTGAAGAGGCTCCTTGGCTTCCCCCATCCTTTGCCTTACAAAAGCTGAATAAAAGTGGCTACTGTGAAACGATTCATGTAAGGTACACGGCTGCAGTCTCAGTATGGGCCCTGTTTGTTATTTCAAAGTGGCAATTTACTAGCTGAACTAGCTATGAGATGTAAAGTCGAAAAGCAAACCACAAAGGGTCTCTTTCTCCTTATTCATCAAAGGCAAACTGTTTTGAGAGGGAGAGAGAACGACCCCCACTGGCTCTGGGAAAACTCCACTCCAAACAACGTTTCCTGCACATTTTTGCGTACGATGAATATTTTCCTATAACCACTGGTGTGCACCTGCTGATAGCACTGATCATTTCCTGAGCAGATTTTCAGAGCTAAGTAGAAACAGGGAGTAGGTCTGACAAGTGACAGAGGCAAGGCAATAACATTGCTTACCCCATGACAAAATGAAGGGAGCTGTTGGGCTTGTTATGTGTGGTATTTCTCAATGTTAAATGTCAAAGACACAAAATGAAATCACTTGCATCTGTAGCAGGGACTCACTAATGAGGTAGAGACCTACAGCTAGAGGATAGCATCACTAGGTGACAGTGATACACTCTGGTTAAATTAGTCCTTTTACGTCCTCAAACTCTTATATATAGCCTAAGTGGTATAAGTTGGTTGTCAAAGAAGAATGAATTCCAAAGTCAATTTTATTAACCTGGAAGGTAGAGATTTACTGAGAGTGCTGGGCTAACCGGCTTCCAGCACTTGTGGCCTATCACTACCATCCAGGTATGATATTGACAGACAATACAGAAGTATACATTACACATCATCAACATTCAAACTGCTCCCACAAGGTTTGACAAAGAAAAAGGGGATTGTGCCCAAACACTCTTCGCAATATAACTACTACAGTGAGTTTTAGTGGTTACATTGTATCATGTTGTATGTTGCCCCTTTAATGACACGTTGAAGAAAGTGGCACTATATAAAGACTGGATGTGAACAAGACTGAATGTGCTGCACATACAAAAAACAACAACACTAGCTCTAACTCACCATTGTTTATTAGTTCAGAAACCAAAATCATGGATGATGATTTTCCTTTGCTACATGTTACCTGTGCAAAAAAAATAAGAGTCATCAATTTTAAAGTCAGAAAATAAAGCAAGTTAACAAGTACATCATCTAATATAGTTTCACAGTTAAAGGACCACTAAAGGCACCCAGACTACTTTATTTATTTTTAATGAAATGGTCTGGGTACAGTGGTCCTGTCATTTTAACTTTGCAATGTAAAAACATTGTCGTTTTGTACAAAATGCAGGGTTAGTACTGACAGCCACTAGAAGTGCATCTCTGTGAGAATCAAGACAGACTCAGCTCTCAAGATTGATTGGTGCAGTGTGGCTATAGGGCTAGGAGTATATGTTTGTATTCCTAATGCCTAGTGTTCCTTTAAAAGAGTAGGCACTGGCTAACTTTGTTGGCATCTCTAAAACATACATATTTCCCTGGTGTATTTCCTGCTCTAGTCAAGCATGCAACCATAACTCCAATTTTTAAAAAGCCTGACTCAAATTCCCCATCCAACTACTGCCATATCTACATACTATTGTTTGCCTCCAGGATCCTGGAGTGCTGTGTACAAGAGACCAAGTGATTTCCTTTATTTGTTTTTGTAAATTAAAAAAGTGTGTAGGGAAGGGAGCTGGGAAAATCAGTGCAGCAGGGAGCGGAAATCTGCGGACTCCACCGTGAGGATCCATTGTGTCCAGATTGCCATGTATGTCTTCGTTTTACCTAACGCTGGGATGGTAAGCTCTTCCATGCACTGGAACTAAGTGGCCATCGGGGGTGGCCTCTCCTGTTTTCAGTAGAGGGGGATCATCCCTTTTGCTACATTGAGAATCCTTATAGCAAGTGATTTCTTGTAGATCGATGTGCAAAGTTTGGTATCGTGTAAGAGTAATGTGGCAGGTTGCAAGGGTGGGGGGTCATCTGAGAATTTCTGTAGTATTTTGTGGATAGTGGCCCAGTAAGGTCTGATTAGGTGGCAGTCCCACCAAATATGCAGTAGCGAGCCCGTGGCCTTCTTACATCTCCAGCAGTGGTCTGTGACTGAGGAGTCTATAGCGTGTAGTGTTAGTGGTGTCCTATACCAGTGCGCTGGTAGCTTATATGACGTTTCTTGTATCCTACTGGATAGTGCACAGTGCACTATCAGGGTGCAGATTTTGTACCACTGTGTGGGTGTGAATGTGATTTCCAGGGTGGTCTCCCACTTCTCCATGTAGCTTGGGGCAGGTAGTCTCCTGCGTCTCATAATGAATTGGTAGAGAAGTGAGAGTCCACTCTCCATGGGCTCACGGTCCATACATAGTGCCTCGAAATCTGTGGGTTCCCTTGAAACCAAGTGTGTCTGCTGTATTGAGGTGATAAATTGTGCTAGTTGTCTTTATCAAAAGTGATGCATTAAGTTTAGTGTGGTGGGGTGTGGGAGGTCCATCAGGGGCTTGATGATACCGTCTTGTGTCGCATGTCTTATTTGGGGGAGGTTGTGTCCTAGTAGTGTTCGAAATACTCGCGCCTCTAATCCCGGGGGGAATGCTGTGTTGTGTACTGTGACGAAGTGCCCTTCGCCACTTGGTCCTGGAGAGGCCTGCTTGCCCGCCTCCTGCCATGTGACTATGGCCCCTGGGAGATTTTACCCTTTAAAACCAGCATTTGGACTTATGGACTTTTATTGGACTGTTTATGGCCCTTTAAGAACTGCATTTGGGCTTATAAGACTTTTGGGAACAATACCCCTTTAAGACTATGTCCCCAGACTGTTACAATCCTGTGTTAATTGCTTTTTCCCACTTGGTTCAGTAAATGGGGCTTACTGAACCAAGTACTGTACAGGCGGACCACACAGAAGTGGAAGCGTGTGGCTAATTTACCTCCCAGGCTGGGAGGCTGCTGTAGATTAATTGCCGACCGCTGGGTGGCCGCCGTTTGTACAGTCGAACACGTGGCGGCAGCCATTTTAATTCAGCTGAAGTTTTACCTTCTCCAGACTTCAATGCATTCGACAATTCGTAGGTGTTCGCCCTCCGTTTGGCAATCATGCGGGCCAGTAGTGCCCCACATTTGTTTGCGTTAGTGTGGAATTTTTTTTTCGTTTGGAGGTATTTCCTTTGGTAGGAAGCATTTAGGATGGTGGATAGCTCTCGTCTAGTGGTTGTCAGTTTGGTCCAGATGTTGTGGATGTTGTGTTTGTTTGTGTCTCTCCCCTAAGGTCTAGATCTCCCGTACTAATGTTGTCAAGTGTGTTGCCCTCTCGCTACGAAGTGACCCCTGATGACGGGCTTATGGGCCTCACACAGGACCATGGAGTGAACATCTGTTGTCTTGTTTTCCCGAAAGTAGTGAGTGAGGTGTTCGTGAAAATCTGTCACCAGCGGGTTCGACAGGAGCGCCCCATTGAAGCGCCACTGTCCAAAAGCTGAACTGTAGAGATGGGTTGAAAGCATCATAAATATCAGGGCGTAGTCCGACCACAAAGCTGTCCCGACTCCCGATGTGTGCTTTTTTTCAGGTCTGTGAGAAAGTAGTGGGGTAAGAAGAAGTAGTCTAGCCTAAACAAACAGTGTTACGCTATATTTTCCTTTTGTGTTTCCTTATTTTAGTTATAGATCTACAGCCATATTCTCCTACGTATTTGCTGTTTTTTCGTACTACACAAAGGAATATAGTCTGGGATATTCCTGGAGAGGGCTACCACTATCTAATAAGATAATGTGATGGAAAAAAAACATTTATTTAGAGAAAGTGTTGGATATATCCTGTGTCAGA